ACACGTACAGAGGAATCTCTCGACCCGACCGCATCTACATCTCTCCTGAGCTCGCGGCCTACTTTGTCCAATCCAGCTTTACAACCTGGTTCTCCGACCATGGAGCCCTCTCCGCCACGTTTCGACTTCCCGATGGTGGCGCTTCCTACTGGGCTTGGCCTCTCCCAGCTCAGATTCCATGGGATGATGTCCAGATCGACACCTGGCACTCCGACCTCCAGCCTGAGCCTCAACTTCTTCAACCAACCACCAACCTCACGCATCACTACGCACAACTTGGCCAACTTTACGAGGAAGGCCTCCATCAGCACCTTCTCGCTACATCGCGCACCCCACTTCCCAGCTTGTTGGGGAAGAGGACAAAGGCTTCGACCCAGACGGCGGCTACCGCAACCACCACTATCTCGACCCAGTCGGCAAGGCGAAGTCCACCTCTGCTCCGACCAGGTCGGCCGTGCTGTTTTGCAGTGGTTCCGCCAACTCCGTCGACTTCAGAGCTTACTACACTCTGTCAAAGCTGGCGGTCAAGAGGCTTCTCACCAACTCTACCGTGCTGAAGTTTGGCGAGCTGTTCTTGTTGCACGGGGATTTCAATCATCCTTCTCTGAATGGTGGCAGACACGAAGACACCAGCTCCAAGGCAGCCCTCATTGCTTACCAGCACATGCTCCTGACCTTGAAACTCTTCAACGAATCTACACTGACTACCAGCACAACTTCCGTTCCTTCGAGAGCTGGAATCTGCGCCAGCAGGCGAAATGCAACCGGGCTAGAATGCAGGAGCACCATGCACGCATCTTCAAGACCCTCAAGCCGGCCAGAAGAGAACCCATCGATCGCCTTGTCGAAAAGAAGACTGCTACCATCATTGCGGTCTCCTCGGATGGCACCCAGGTGCTCACTGACCAGCCCTTGTCGGCCGCCAAGCACGACTCATGGTGGGTTGACAACGTCCCGGCACAAATCACCCACATCACCCCGGACACCTTCCAGGTTGACTCGGATCTCCTCCTGGTTCCTGGACAACAGCTACATCAGCACATCCACATCACTGAGGATGCTCGAATCCACGAAGCCCTCAGCCACTTCTGGACCGACAGATGGAGCAAGCACAAGGACCTCCCTCCAGAAGCCTGGCAGCGTATCCTTGGCTTTGTACAAGCCTTTGTACCACGCAGTTTGATCAAGCTTCCTGACCTCGACCTCTCTTCTTGGGATCAATCACTGCGAAGATTCAAGAAACACACGGCAAGAGGCGCTGATGGCTATGGACGCAACGACCTTGTCAACATGCCCGATCCACTCCGCCAAGCCCAAGTTGACCTCTTTCGCTGCATTGAAAACGGTGGACAATGGCCACAACAGCTGCTCACCGGCTTCGCCCATGGCATCGCCAAATGCGACGGGGCCGAAGAGGTCGCTCAGTTCAGGCCGATCATTGTGCTCAGCATGAACTATCGCAACTGGGCATCCCTCAGAGCTAGACAAGGACTCTCCCGGCTTTCACAGCTTATGGATTGTCCAGCCTTCGGCTTCTTGCCTTCTCGTGAGGCTCAGGAGATCTGGCTTCCTCTACAAGCCCACATTGAGCTTCATGCTCAACAGAACCGATCTTTGGTTGGATGCGTTGCGGACGTCGAGAAGGCATTCAACCACTTGCCGCGAGTGCCCATCAAGCAGATCGCCAAACACGTTGGCTTCCCCTCCAACTTTGTTGAGGCCTGGCATCGATTCCTCGTTGGATTCTCCCGAAGATTTTGCGTCCATGACACGGTGGGTGGCCCGCTCTTCTCCAACTGTGGCTACCCCGAAGGATGTCCACTCAGCTGCCTGGCCATGGCTCTTGTGGACTGGTGCTACCATCTGTACCAATCACACTTTTCGCCACGGGCCACCTCGGCATCTTTTGTGGACAATCTTGAAATTGTCGCAAATCACCCAGGAGCACTACTACACGCAGTTGTCACTCAGGACGCCTTCCTCGAGATGTTCCAGCTACGGATCGACCTCGACAAAACCTACCTCTGGGCGGTCCATCCTCAACATCGGCAGCAACTTCAGCTTATGGGGCGCCGCATGAGCCTCAAGGATAAGGATCTCGGCGGTCAAATGACCTATGGTGCCCGTAGGAGAACAGCCCATCACCCGGACATCCTTGCTGGACTCCAACCAACCTGGACCCTGCTCAAGAAGCTCAACGTTCCAACCTTCAACAAGCACCTTGTCCTCTACCAAGCCCTGTGGCCACGTGTTTTTCACAGTGCGCCCATTGAGGACTTCTCCACTGCCAACATCAAAAGCCTACGCACTGCTGCAGTCCGTGCCACTGGCGCAGGACGGGCAGGGGCTAGTCCCCGAATCCGGCTCAGTCTTCTTTCAGGAAACATCCTGTGTGACCCCGGATTCTTCCAGCTCTGGCAGGTCGTACGCACCTTCAGGCGCATCCTCCACAAGCAGGCGTCCCTGATTGACACCTGGGCCGAATTTACTGCCTCTTACGATGGCCGTGCTTTTGCTGGGCCATTTACGGTGTTACTACGACAGCTCAACGCCATCACGTGGAAGATTGCATCCCCACCTACACTTGTCGATCATGAAGGGCATCACCACAACATCATGACCATTGACATTGGCCTCCTCCGACTACTTCTTGAAGACGCCTGGTTACAATCCACCTCTCGGGACCTTGTTCAGCGGGCAGACTACCAGGGCCTACAAGGAATCAACTGGATAGCCAGTCTTCACTGCAGTGCCCGACTAGACGCCCTTGAAACTGCCAGGGTTAACACCCTTCGAGAAGGAGCCTTCTACCTCAACTCCCAGAAGGCCAAGTTCGACAACTTCACTGCCAGCCGGTGTAATCATTGCTCTGCCCTAGATACCGTCGAACATCGTTGCCTTGAGTGTCCAGCACATGCTGAATGTCACGCCCAGCACGATCAAGCGCGTCGTCTTTGGCATGATTCACCTGTATGCCTACGTGAACGACTCCTTCTCCCTAGCAATCCGCTGCTTTGTGAAGTCAGGGACTATCTCGACAGCCTCAAGTACAAGCAGATTGTCTTTGAGACCTACGCCCAACCTGGTCAGACCGTGCACCTGTTCACTGACGGCTCCTGCACATCTCCTACGTACCGGCCATTGGCCTTGGCATCCTGGGCAGTCATCTCTGCAACGCATACATGCCAAATCGCAGCAGGACCACTTGCCGGCAAAGCACAATGTATCAACCGGGCTGAACTTACAGCCATTCTGTACGCTGCAAGATGGACACATCAATGCGGATGTGCTACAACCTTGTGGACTGATTCTGCATATGCCGCCTCTGGTGTTTGGAGACTTCAAGCTGACGAGTTTGACGCCCCTGATACAAGCAACAGCGATCTCTGGCAGGAACTCCGGCTACATCTTGAACGCCTTCAACCTGGTCAATTTCGGGTGCTTCACCTCCCCGGTCATGGACGCCCTGATGAATGCGAAGACCCAGCTGATGAATGGACCATCAGGTGGAACGGGGCTGCTGACGGAGCAGCCAAGCTCGCAAATCAGCAGCGGGAGCCCTCCTTCTTGAGACTCTGGAAGGAATACCAGCGTGCCGAACAAGCACAACTCCACCACCTTCGCCTTTTCCAAGCCCTTCACCTTGCTGTTGCACAAAGCAATGAGAGCAAGGAGAAGGCCAAACAGCTTCGGCACGCTCCTGATGATATCCCTGATGATGAAGAGGTCGCGACCTATCAGCACAGTGAGGGACAGGCCAGCTGGCTCGTCTCACTCAGTCAGGAATGGCCATCTGAACTCGATGGTTCAAAGCTTGAGTTTCAGTTCGGGCCACGTTTTCCTCGCCAGGTTTTTCAATGGCTTCATCAGAAAGCCTCCACCTGTGCTAGCCCGGTATTCGTTTCATGGCTTGAGGTCGCTGTCGCACTCAGGCTTGCATGTATCCAATTTCCGGCCCCGGCACCTCACCGCGATGGTGCCATTTGGAGGGACCAGCATGAATCCACCTCAGTTCAAGGTACCCTTGGCTCGGATGTGCATCTGATTAGGCTCCTTTTTCGCGGTTTCGCTTCCCTGTTCTCCTTGAACTTAGGTGAGATTCGAGGCCTCAACCTTTCGTTGCTTGGAGTTGGGCCTCCTCAAAATGGTCTAACAATAGACCTCCCACATCGCGTTCTTGTCGATGTGGCAAGTGCAATCCGCACCTTCTGCACTGGCCGGCCGATTCGCTCGGCCAATGACTTGGCCAGGCCTTTTCGATAAGGCCCCACAAGGGGGCCTGCGCTCGATGTGGCACAACGCCACCTGACAGATTGGACGTGCCGCACTGCCGCCCGGCCGTGCGCACGTTGCAGCGCGTGAGTGTGTAAATTGTTTCCCAACGACAACCATGATTAGTTGGCTAAAAGCTATTCAGTCCTAACATCCCTTGGCAAAATGCAAAGTTTCTCTGGACATCGAACAGAACAAAAGGGCGCCCAAAGTGCTACGGTGCCGCCGATCGCGGCTCCCAAGAAACCATTACAGAGCTGAAAAATCAGAAACCAGGCTACGGGTAGCAATCTGGTCAACGCTTGCCATACACGCGCACACAAAAGCTGACTGCACGCTAGTGAACACGCTAGTAAAAGAAGTCATACATCATTGACCTGTCAATGTGCTGCCTTTCGGGCAACCCCTTTGCGGTCATGCAGCCCCTTCTTAGAAAGATACGTGGCCTCTCCACTTTTTCAACAATGGGAGCTCATCTTGGTGAAATCAAGTACCGCAGCCAATCGTCGTTGCCATGTTGCCATGTTGATCCGACTTCTCAGATCTCGGCACAGGTCGATCTCGATTTGCTTTTGCGATCCCTGTTCAACCATCCACAAAAGAGCTTCTTCTTTTTTGACAGCCCCGAAAGAGTTTATTTTTGACAGCTAGATGAACAGAGTCTGGTTCCCGATTTTGACGCAAACCACGCGTTGCCACAGGTCTGCCAAATGACCTCGCGAACCGGCCTGATCAAGGCCGGCATCACTCAGTGGTGGGTCCAGCGGAAACCTGAGAGATGGGAATCGTCGGACCAGAAATGGGAGTCACGCTTTCGGTTGGTTGGGTGGTTGGGTATTTGGTTGGTTCCTAGCTTACTCCTGCGGTTTCGAGTGACATGCGTTCCAGGCTCGGGAAAGTGTCCGGGGGTGGCTTGCAAGGGGATGGGATCCCGGATGGGATGATTTTGCAAGGAACAATGAAACCAACCTTCCTACGAGTGCGGGGCTGAGGGTTGCCGCATTATTATCCTGGTTCTGGTAGAGAATGATTTGGAACACCTCAAACTGAACCTCCAACTTGTTTCCTAGATCCCAATTCCAAACCCTCGAAATTCCCCAAGAACCAGCAAGTTGTGTGCAAGGTTGGGACGGAGGCGGCTACCATGGGAAGCTGAGACTCTGCTTCAACGCCGTGTCTTTGGGTTGTTGTTCTGGGCAACCAAAGCACAACAACCATTTTGGAGGTTTTGCATGTCTGAGACATACCAAAGTGGAAAACTGCTTCTCAAGATGGAGCCATGGGAAATTGGAGCACTTTAGTAAGTCAACGGAACTTGGCTTTTGACTGGCATGACATTCCTGCATGGCGAAATGTTCTTTCGGAAAACCAACAGGAGCGGGGCGGAAGAAGCTGGCTATGGACAAAAAACCGCTTCGTGCCAAATGAATAAACACCTTATTAACTGCTGATGAATCAACTGGTGCCAAGCGGATGTTGCCCATCCGAAGCATTTCGGAATGTTGAGAGTGCACGTCACTTTGAAGGGAAGAAGATTGGGTCACCTCTAGCCGAAAGGAAACCCTCAAGGCCTGGCTCGACACATGTTTTGGTCTGATCAGTGCTGAAAAAGCTTGGACTTTGCCCAACCTACCAGTGATGGTTAGCCCAACCTCCAAAATCGTCTTTCCAACAACGGACTCCCCACAGACATCACCTCTCGAAGCAATGGATCAGAGTAAGGGGAACTCCGTTAAATAGGCATTTCCACAGCGCCAAGGTCCTATCCCATCTGCCAACGGAACATGCAGCGGAAGGGGACGAACCTGTGAATGTTACAGGCAACCGCCACTGAGGTTGCACCAGTTTGAGGTCAGCTGTCTGTTCGAACAAGGGAGCAAACCGTCACCATCATCATCATCATCATCATCATCATCATCATCATCATCATCATCATCGTCATCATCATCATCTGCTGCTGCTGCTGCTGCTGCTGCTGCTGCTGCTGCTGCTGCTGCTGCTGCTGCTGCATCACAATCACCTCTTGCACCCTGATTTGCGTTTTTGGTGTATCTCCGATGGTATGCTACTTCTTCCACCCTCCCCGCGCCTCCGCCCATCGTCAGAGCTGCACCATCGCGTACCCTCCCAGATTGCAAAGACCCCGTCCGCGCGCTCTGCGTGTCGAACAACACCAAAGAGCTGCGTCCTTGGACGAGTGGCTTGACTGCGCAACCCTGGGGACCCGAAAACCACCTGTTGACCCCTTCGTTTTGAGAAAAAAGCGCACGAAGCAGTTGTTGTTTGACGTCTTTTGGCTTGTGAGCACAAAAACGGGCTGGTTGGGGCGTCAAAAAACCCGGCTCGACAAGTAACCAGTGAAGCCCAGTTTCAGGGCTGTCAGTTTCAGATCCCCTGCCACCAAAAAACCAACCACTAAATGCAGCGCGGCCCTATTTCTTCCCTTTCCTCTTGGGTCAGATGGCTTCAGTCAAAGTGCAACATGTCTGCACCCCCTGAGCGACGAAAAGGTCGGTAGCCCCTTTGAGGAGCTACCGCTGCAATGCCTTATGGCCTTTTCGGCCACAAAGCTCAAAACACATCCGACCAAGGTGCCCCTTGATCATCGTGGCCGGCTGGACCTTCGTCACCAGGTCCGCCTCATTCTCCTTCCCATCAACCTTCACCACCGCGACCTCCTTGGCGAAGACCTTGTCCTGCAGCCAAAGAAACCTCGCCTGGATGTGGCGCGTCTTGCCCACACCCTTCCGAAGGCTCATTGCCCGAGCCGCCGTGCTGTCCACCTTCAGCATGACTCTCGTCACCGCGTAGCCCCAGAAGTTGATGACCCCGCGGATGAACTCCGCGTGCGTTGTTGTCCTGCACATGCCGTAGAACTCACTCTCGGCAGAGCTCAGCGCCACCACCTTCTGTCCCGCGGCTCTGATCAGCACCGTGTGATGCCCAATCTTCACCACCGATCCCGTGGTACTCCTCCTCGTCCTCAGGTCTCCGGCCCAATCCGAATCGGACCAGGCCAGCACGTCCACCTCCTCAGGCCTCTGCTCCAAGAAGGTCCTCTTCATATACGGGTACTTCAGCAGGTACCGCACCACCTTCTTGAGCCGAAGCCAATCACCCATCTTCGGGCTCTTCATGGCCGACGCCAACGTCCTCGAGGCGTGAATCACATCCGGCCTGTCCTGGCTCAGATAAGCCAGCCTCATAGTCATAGACCTGAACTCACCGGTCTGGGCCTCGTCCAACGTCTCGGAGCGCTCTTCGACAATGATGTCCTGATCCCGAATCTTATCCTCCGGGATGTCGCTGCCCTTGGTCTTGGAGTCGAACCCAAACGACCTCATCAGGATCTCCGCGTGCCGCGCATCCGCTTCCACCTCCAAGCGTTTTCCATCCGTTCCATCTGCCACGTACCTGATGAGCCGATTGAGAAAGAACATCTCCTTGCCGTCCAGCTCCCCGTCTCCGACTGTCGCCTCCCACCGGGCCTTGTACTTGCTGTTGAGGACGCCATCCATCCAGGTCAGCTGGTCGTCCTCCGCGAGTACCAGAAAATCGTCTCCGTGCACCAGCCCGATGATGCCTCGCTCCTGAAACTTGAACAGCGCAGGGCACAGCTTGCTGAACTCGCCCTTCTCCTTCTCCATGAGACCTTGGTAGTCCATCTGGAAGATCTTGCTCGCGTCCTGCGTGCCATACATGCTCCGCAGGAGTCTCCCCACCATCGCCTCCTCATCCTCCGGGTGCACCAAGTCTTCCTGCGGGAGCTCCACAAACAGTTCCCGTTCTGCCTTGCCCATGAAGTGCGCCCGGGAGATGTCCCACACCGCCAGCTTCCTCTTCTTCTTGATGCCCTTCTGCGACATGAACAGGCTCAAGATCATCATGACGCATTCTACAGGCGGCGTTGCGGCGAAGGTGTCTTCCGCGCCTAGTTGTTGATCTGGCCTCTTCGCCTTCTTGATCTCCTTCGTCACCAGCCGACTCCTCACCTTCGGATTCTCCTCATCTCCTTTATTCACATCTAACCACTTCAGTTGAAGTGGCTTCCTCTGCTCGCTCTGCTCGCAGAGCTTCCTCGGAACTCTTTCGTAGACCGCCTCCTTTCGGAGCCAGTCCAACTCCTCAGCTCTCGCCTTTCTCACAAGCTCGGCTGGCAGAACCGTCCCCGACGAGTCGTCCATGAACAGCTCGTCCACCTCTTGGTTCTCCCTCTCCTGGTCCACCCAATCGTCCGGCGAGGCTCCCGTCAGCATCTCCTCCACGCTATTGATCTGTCCTCGTTTCCTCATCTCACTCCGCAGGCCTCTCAGGATGGCCTCCACCAGCTCCACCGGGTAGACTTGGGCTGCCTTCGCACGATCCTTGCCGATGAGGTGAACATGCCGATGGACTTCTCGCCCTTGTAGCACGTTTTCACACACACCCCTCAGCTCCTCCGCAATGCATTCGCTGTTGGTCAGCCACAGCGTCTCCTTTCTCACATGCAACTCCTCACCATGATCGTCCCTCATCTTCATGCCGAAGCGGCACATCGGGCTCTGCACCAGGAAAGAACCTTCTTTCCCTGGGCATCGGCTATTGATTTAAATCAATAGGTTTCTTGTTCTATTGATATGCCCTTTTTTCAATAAGAAACATGTGGTTCTAGGCGACCAAAATCAAAAGCAAGATTGCGAAACAAATCAATTAAACGTGTCCTCATTTTTACATGGTAAATCAAAAGCAAATATCAATAAGGTTTGCAGTGCGGCACACCCCTTTTTTCCACAATGGCAGTGTAGGAGCTTGTCCCCCTTTCAGCAAGGGCATGCCTACAGAAGCAGGAGAAGGTGCTTTCTTGTCACCCTTTCAGCAAGGGCATTCCTGTAGCAGCAGGAAAGGGATGGGGGCCTGCCACCCTTTTAGCAAGGGCATTTCCTGCAGCAGCAGGACAAGGAGAGCAGCCTGCCACCCTTTTAGCAAGGGCACCCTCTATAGCAGAAGCTTGTGCAGTCAATAGTCAGCTGGCTTGTCCCTCTTGGCCAAAACCTGGCCTGCTGAGTTGCAGGTGAAGAAGAAATTTATATTTCACTGCAAGCTTGGAGCTGAGCTTGGAGGATTTTACCCCAAAGGCAGTGGAATGTGTCAACACACTCATTCTGCCCACAAAGTGCTCTGCCCTGTAATTGGAATGGATTCTATAATTCAAATATTTTGAATTCAGGATGAGATGATGAAAGGAATGGAATTTGTGAGTGATGTGAAAGAGCTTTCTGCCTTTTAGCAAGGCCCACTGGTTCAGATCATGGTAGTTGCTGAAGAACCTTTTGGCAAGGTTGGCGGCTTGCAAGAACTCCTCAGAAGTAGGAAAAAGCCCAATTGCATCATACAGATCAGCAATCTGAATCAATGCTTCTAGGCAGGCCAGCATGGCTTGATGAATGGGGTCATCTTCTGGCAGAGCTTCTCGCAACACCTGCAACAGACAGGGCAGCAGGTGCTTAGTCTCAGCAGCCTTTGCCTCAAGGCACGCAAAGCTTTTGTGAGGCTTGGCAGCATCAGGGCAAGTCATGGAGAGGCGAAGGTTGGTCAACCTGGAGGAGACCTGATTTTGGACATAGAGCTCCTTAATTCTGCCAAACAGCTTTTGGAGCCTTTGGCTGGGTGGCACTGCCTGCCTTGCTTTCACACCATCAAAGTAGCACAAGTAATGGATCAAAGAGCCTGCAAGGTGTGAAGCAACTCCTCTGGAGTACAGGATGTGGAGGGAGTCTCCTCGCACCATGGCTGCGCTGATGCCTGGCACCTGAAAAAGTGGATGGGCACTCCTTTTAACAAGGAGGGCTTGCTCAGGGGAGACATATACAAACTTTTGATCAGCTTGCCTGAGAAGCTTGACACTCTTCCCATCAGGACACTTAATGCCCTTGAATGCAGGCTTTTGGGCATCGCATTCTGCACAGGGGAATTTGTTTTGCCAGTGTGGCATCTTCAAGATGTTTGAGAAGAATTCTTGGTCACCCTGTATGCTGTAGATGCAAGCTCTGTGGTTGCCTGGTGTCAAGGGCAGGCCAGCCAGCTCTGCCAGTGAAGGTGGCAGGCCATTCCCATATGGATCTTGGGAAGGGTGCGTGCCTTTTATCAAGGCTGCAAAGCTCCAGGCAATCCAGTCATGAAGAGGCCCCCAAGTTGTGGGCACAGAGCAGTTCTTTGGAAAGGCAACCAGGAGCAGGTGGGCTGCTAAGCTCTCCTTTTGGCTGAGCAAAGGGCCCCATGACCATGTCATCAGGCTGTCTCGGTTTTGGTATTCCACACCATCACCATGAACAAAGATAGGGCATGTGTGGGAAGGATCCCTGACCCTTTTACCAAGGGTGATTGGTGGGGCAAGCCTGGGGTCCTTGGACCTCTCAGCACATTGCCAAAAAGATTCTGCTTCATTGAAGCAGAACAGGTCCAAGAAAACCTCTGTGTAGTGCTCAGCAATGTTGCTGAAAAGAATGTGGGGAAGAAACAGGGAGGCTTCTTCCGTGGTGTGCTTCCTGGTGTTGGGGTCAAGGACATCAACAGTGACTGGCATTGGGTCACATACTTTGATGTTTTTGCAAAAGTGGCTGACCAAGTCCCTGTGGGCACTGCCAGGGTTTTGGCCAAAGTTACCACATTTGGCCAAGGCCATGGTTTCAGCAGAGGAGCTTCCTTCCAAAATGGCCAAGTGTGCTATCTCTGCAGCCTGGACTGCTGATATTTTTCCCAGGGACCAAAGTTCAAGCAGCCTTGTGCACAAAGGGCTGGACTTGTTTGGCTCAAGCTTTTCATCCTTTTCACAAGGATGTTTTCTTGACTGGTCTAACTTCCAGCCTTTCAGCCTTTTGGGAGGCCTCTCCATGGCAAATTCCCCTTTTATCAAGGGGGCTGCCTTTTATCAAGGCCATCAAATATTATAAGTTACCCTGGAGCCAAAGGGCCTGCGTTTCAAGCATGATGCATGCTAGCCCTTGGCACTCAAAGCAACCCCTAAAAAAACATGCTGACCTTTTACACCCCAAAGCCTTTGGGGGTTGGTTCAACAAGCAAGCCCCAGAACAGACTATACTATTTCTTTGTGTTTGGAACCTTCCCCCCCACCCCATCCCTTCAGAGCACTTGGTGGAAAACTCTTTTTGCCTGTCGGTGCCAGCTGCTGCCAAACCCTTTTAGCAAGGGGGGTGGGATAGACAATTGCCATCCCTATCTAAACAGGTTCCCTTTCACCAAGGGCATTTGGGCTAGCATTGTAGCAAAGGTACCCTTTTAGCAAGGGTGTTTCCTAAGTTCACTTCTTGGAGCCCTTGCTGGCTTTGCTTCCAGCTTTGTTTGCAACCTGGTTGAGTTCTTTGGACTCTTCTTTGGCTGCCTTGACTGCTGTCATGGTATCCACAAGCACCTGTTTTGCTTTTTGCAAGGGCATTGACTGATCTTGCTTGGCCAAGATGTCTTTGACAACCTTTACCCTTTTGGCCAGAATTTCCAACTTGCTTGTAGTGTCTCTCTTGGCTGCTTTGGTTAACCTTTTAGCAAGGTCAGCTTTAGTGAGGGCAGCCTCACAATCATCTTTGGCCTGCCCAGCTTGGTCTCTTGCCCTCTTTGCTTTTACCAAGAGCTCCTTCCACTGTTCTTCTTCAGTTGTCTCTTCTAGATCATCTTCTGTGCCATCCTCCAAGGCCAACAAACCTCTTGGTTTTTTTGTTGTCTTTCCTTTTGTCTTTCCTTTGCCTTTCCCTTTTCCTTTTATCAAGGAAGATCCCTTGCCAAAAGCCCTCAAATGGCTATAGTTGTCCTTTTTCAGGAAACTTTGCCATTCTTGCTGGTCTTCTGCAGTCGGTTCATACTCCTGGCCTAATGACCAGTGCTGAGCCTTTTTCACATGGGTTTTTTTTTCAAAGTCGCCTGTGTCTTGGTAATTCCACACATTTGGTGTGAGTGGGTCTGCTCTGTAAATAATCCTTCCTGACTCCATGTGGGCCCAGAAATCATCTTCCCCATGAAGTTCCAGCATCTTTTTCTCTGATACCCATTTTTCCCTTTTAGCAAGGGAGGTGGCGTGTTCCATGGACTCATTGTAGTGGAAGAACTTGGGGACCTCAGTCTTCACAAGGGCCAGTGCTGCTTCGAATCCCTTCTCATGCTTGCTCTTGTTCTGGAAATCGTCTTGTTCTTCTTTGGGCTTGCCTTTCAAGGCTGTTTGGTACTTGGACCAAACCCTGGTGTGTTCTTGCTTACCAAGCATTTTTCTCAACTCAGTAGCTGCCTCTTCAGGGGTGTCAGCCTCTTCCCCTGCTTTCTTAATCTTCTCTGCCAAGGTCATCTTGCCAAGTTTGGCCAAGTGTTTTTTTTTCAGCTGCAATTTCATAGTACTCACAGCCTTCATGGCCTTCATGGCCTTTGTTGCACTTCCTTGGCCAGTCCCTTTTAGCAAGGGTTGCTTGATGATCCCTTTTTTCAAGGGAGAGCCCTTTGATGTTTTGGACTTTGCCTTTGGTGCCATTTCTTTTCCCCTTTCAACAAGGGGCAAAAATGCTGCAAGCTTGACAGGTGGGAAAGCTGCGGTGCACAAACAATGTTCCACGTGTGTGGGGTTTCCAAGCCTGGCCACATTTGATCAATTTTGATCAATTTTGATCAATTTTGGTCAATGTTGGTCAAATTTGATCAAATTTGATCAAAACCATGGTTTTGACCAAAACTGACCAAAATTGATCAAATTTGACCAAAATTGACCAACATTGATCAAAGTTGTGGATTTGGTTTCCTTCATACATTGGATTTGGAAACTGCCACAATGACATGAGATTCCATGCTGGTGACTGTGTTGTTTGCAAAGGGCTAGCCACATACACCAGTAAAAACAAGTTTCATCAAGGGCATTTGCCTTTTCTACAACTACAGCAAGTTGCAATGCTGCCCTTGGTAAAAGGGCACCTTGGCAATGGAGACATGTGTCATACCCCCCACTCCCAATCCCAAAGAATCACTTGAGAGAAGGGCTTCCCAATTCAACCCCAACCCAAAAATGGTATTGACACCCTTCAGAGAAAAAAAAAAGGTTCCCCCAACCCAAGCCCCAAAGGGACCCCTGGAGAAAAGCACCCTTGCACCCTTGAGAAAAGGGACCAGTTGCACAATTGAAACTGTTTGACCAGAAGCCCTGCCCATTCCCTAGAAAAAAGCACCCTTGCACCCTTGAGAAAAGGGATCAGTTGCAAAATTGAAACTGTTTGACCCTGCCCATTCCCTGAGCACATGCACTTTTGCCACAGCCCAAAGCCTGCAGCTGCAAAAGCCATTTTGGCCAAACTTCACCCTTTCATCAAGGGGGGGAGGGCTCAGCTGGCTTCCCTTTTATCAAGGGGGTGTAGGTTCCACCACTCTCCCTTTTATCAAGGGCAGCTTGCGTTGGGGCCATTTGCAATTCCCTTTTAACAAGGGTAATGGAAGGCATCCCTTTTATCAAGGGAAGTGGTGCCAGCCCTTTGTTTTAGGAGCTTGTCTCCAGGAAGTTTTCCACAGCATCCATCAAAGTGGGGTAGGAATCATACTTCCACCTTTTTCTGTTGTAGTTTGTTTGGATGCAATACACCCAGAGCCCCCTGGCCCAGCAGTCATTCAGCACCTCCATGGAGTCATCAAAGATGACCTCGACCCTGTGCTGCTGGCACCATTCACCCTTGCCCCCTGACTTGTCCCGGCTCCTTGTAAAGGTAACACTGGCAAAGCGGAATTTCAATTCAGCAAGCTTTTTTCTCACTTGCTGTTCCCTTGCAGGGCCACAGTAGGACACCATGTGGACTGTATACCCAGCAAGGTCCAGCTTCTCCAAGGCATTGATGGAGCTGGAGGGCACCACATCATTGCAGCAAATGACATTGTGCCAGTCCACTGCCACACTGGCTTTGGGGGCGTTTTTCAGCCGCCACATTGGGGGTTCCCTCCTTTCATCAAGGAGGGCTTTTCTCTTTGTTGCAGGGGTTGTGGCCGTGTTTGTTCTTGCCCTTTTTTCAAGGGTAGGCTGGGCTTGCCTCTCAGGGCTGAACACACTTACCCTTTTACAAAGGGTGGCTTTGCTTGCCTGGGGCTTGGCTGCAGGGGTGCTGGAGCTTTCTGTTTCTGAGGAGGAGGTGCCCCAGTCAACAGAGTCCTCCAAAGGGGACTCATCTGCAACAAGCTCTTTGCTTTTTTGGGCAGGGCTGGGGCCAAGGACCAGGGCCTCTTGCTGTTGGTCCTTTGCCTGCTTGTTCTTTGAAGGGGCCTTGCCAAGAGCCTCACTTGTTGGCTCCTTGTCTTGAGCTTGCTGCTCTTTTGTTTCTTCCCTTTTATCAAGGGGGCTAGGCTCTGCAGGCTTTTCTTCTTCCCTTTTGACAAGGGTGGATGGTGCTGGCTGTTCCCCTTCCCTTTTATCAAGGGTGGGCTCTGCAGGCTTTTCTTCTTCCCTTTCAAGAAAGGTGCTGGATGCAGCTGGCTGCCCCTCTTCCCTTTTAACAAGGGTGGGCTCTGCAGGCTTCTCTTCTTCCCTTTTGTCAAGAGACGGCAAGGTGACGTCCCGTGGGACGCTGTGCACCGAACCCTCAAGCTTTAATACCAACCACGTAGAAAGGTGTATACGGACGATGCCGTTATAGCCGAACCCGTGTAAACGTTGTAAGGAAGAAGGAATGATAATTACACCAGTGGTCCTGACAAAGCGGCGCAAGCAGTTGTTTTGCTCTTAATGCCGATCACGTAGGTCTGCAGTCACACATCAGATCTTGAACCTCAATTGTGTCTTGAGCCAAATGGCGATCAATGGAACTTGGGAAGCAACACCAACAAGGACCTCAGAACTGCTACCCAATTTCGGCACGGGGCCTAGAGGGTTTTAACATCCCCCATTTGGGTCGCATTGTTCATCATGCGGTCCAAACACCACAAAACGTTCCACTGGCCACGGCTTCAACTACGAAATCGTGTCGTGCATTCTTTTACTTGCTATCACTACACCGTTCATTCGCTGTGAAACATGCCGGGTTCGATTGTACGAAAAGTGAAACATTCATCCTCCAATCGAAGCACACATCCATATGCAGGTGTATATAATACACTGTGGCCACTTCACTTGACCGCCAGTGAACATTCCAGCTGCCGCATTTGCGCATCGCGCAGCTGTCATCCATAAATGGGTTGGCCACAAATGTCCACCATGCGCGCCCGCTTGTGATCGGTCTGCATATCTCCGGCAAAGAAACATCGGTGAGTAATCAATGCAAATCATAGCCATTCCAGATACCATGGACAATGCATAAATAATGAAAAGATATCATCTATAAGGTAATAGTTCCATCCATGAATATCCAGAGCGTCATAGTCATCGGAATATGTAACCATGTACACATCCATTCATCTTGGACACATGAATATAAATCATGACATAAGTCGTTCCACCGAAACAGTGTCGATGTGACGCAAGTAACAGATGGGGACTGGCCCACATCGTACCGCAATCATCATCTTCACGAAGCATACCTGTCCCCAATGGACAGCCTATGGGTACGTCGGCGGAACTCCTCGTCCAAGTTCTTCTGGGCTTCTCGTGCCCGGACACACTTCTTGTTGTAGTCCTCTGGCAACCAGTGCCCTTTCCGAAGGCACCAATCCAGCAGGGGTGTGTCGCATTTGTTCGGGTCGATGGCCGAGATGATGGCGCTCACGTTGACCGCGTAACCATGCTTGCCAAGGTTTAGGCCATCCCTCACGAATGATATATACTTGCAGTTGAAAGCTAGTGCAAAACATCTGAAAATAATATCACCCACCGGGTGCACTCGGTCCTTGACCAGGAGCTTCATTTCTTCCTTGGTGACATCGAGGATTCTTGCTGCAATCCACAGCTTGTAGAATGTGTATAGTCCCTCGCATTTGTTCACCATCATACGAATATATTCGTCACGCTCCTCAACCGATCGGAAGGCTCTTGTCCGAACATTCTCCGATTGAGAAATCTTCGTTATTGTTGATGGCAAAAGTATACCTTCCTGATCATGCTCAGTGATGTTGGGGTACCTCCTGAAATCATTGTGATAAGGGCAGCCCGGATTCCCTTCGAGTCCGGCATTCATCGTTCTCTCCTCACCACCTTCAAACATCCCCCACATCTTGGACAGCTGGAGTGCGATAAATCCTGCCATGTACTGAGCCTCACGCGGCTCGTCAAGGCAGATCGCCATCCGTTGGGAACTTATAATGTCCCGTGACGTCAGATCGGTGTCGCGGTAATGCCAACCGCCGTCTTCTTCTTCTGACGCATAGCCGGATGTATATCCTTGCGTGTCCATGTCGTCATCTTCTCCCGGAACTTCCTCCGCTTCGTCTTCATCCTCCTGTGCTGCCGCATCGTGGTTAGCTTCTTCCTGTGCACGCCTGGCATCTCCAGAGACGTTGGGGTTTTGGTTGTCCTCCTCGTCATCGGAATTGATGTGAATGTAGTATCTTCCGATGGAGATCAGTTGTGCCTCGCACTCCAGGCATAAGCAGAAGCAGGTGGGGATCGCGGTCGCACATGATGGACATATCCGGCACCTCAGTCCTTCCCATGTCTCATCATTCAGGATGACGACTTTGCTGACTTCGTCCCGGACCTCGTTGACCTGTGCGTTGAACTCTTCCATCTTGTTGTTTCGATAGAGTTCGCAAGCACGATTAACCATGTCAACGATGTAGTGCAGATTATCGGCACCTGTCTCAGTCTCCGGCATCCTCTCGCTGATCTTTGCGACGTTCTGGAGGAACATCGCAGCCGACTCTTGGGAAGAGTTGACAAAGCCAGGGCAGATCTCGTTCTCCACACACTTCGAGTACGCCCTCTTGATGTCAGCGTACTCCAGGCGCTTCCCTCCGTTGCTTTTGCCAATCCAAATGGACTTGACCTCATAGAACGGGATCACGTCAAAGACCATGAAAGTCCCATTAGCCGCGACTCCAGCCCCATACCGCGCGAGGGTTGCACTGGGAATATAGATGATCGCAATCGGATCCCCTCTCCTCACGTTCCGTAGCGTTGTCTTCGTCGCCACGTTCATCTCATCCCATGGAGCAAACGCCCCGAAGTGCAGTGCTAGCCTGTTACCGCCATCGATTCCGCCGGGGACTAGCCCACAGCGTACGATGCTTGGCAGGTTTTCCACATACGTCACATGGAATGCTCCTCCGAGAGTATCACCCATTCTTGCGGAATACCTATTCGCCAGTGCGGATGAGCTCATGAATCCAAAATCACTGTGACCGGTTGTGACTCGGATGCACCAAGGTCTGTACCATCCATCGCATCTGTTGAACATCCTGTCGATGTCGTCCCGATCCACGCCAGCCTTGGTCATTTCCTCCCTGGCTGCCCTCGTGTCGTTCGGGTTCATGATGCTCGGAAACCTTGCTGCCAGAACCTGAAATCTCGATTTCTTGTGTCCGGATTCCTGCCACTTGATCACCTCCATGATGCCCATGTAGCGTTTCGCTCTCGTGGTGTGCGGTGGGAATATGTCGTTGTTCCGGTCGTCAATGACAGCATCAATGTCGACCCATCCACCCTCGTCGCACCTGAAAGCACTTCCTCGGCAATTGCCGATCTTGTGTCGAAGGACTCTGCATAGGTCGTGAGATAGCTGGTTTGCTTGGTCCCTTGTAGTAAATACCGAGCGATCATCACCAATCCTGCATAGTGGAGCACCGTCGAAAGGAGCAATGCAGAAGTTGACACTCTTGCCAAGTTGCATCACGTCCACTTGCTCAAGGATTGCACCTCTGGGAAAGTACCTGGGGTCAACAATAGACGCGTATGCCCGTGGCATATGCACTTCAATCATGTCGCCGTACTTCGGGATGTAGCACGGGATGGTGTCGCATCCCATCTCAAGCGTCTTCTTGAATGTCCTGCTGTCCCCGCACGGGTTGTATGTGAGGTCGACGCCACCACATTGTAGCTCTCCTCCCTCAGCCGTGTCAGCCATCTCCACCAAATTAATAGTGTAGCTGTACATCTCAATTGTTTCTTTCCCAGCTTGTCCTCCTTTCTTTCTTTCCTTGGACGTTGATGAGGACGGTTCCTCCGTATCCCCCATGTCTTCATCAGATGAAATAGGGTCACTGCTGAGTAGCTCACGGAGCACCTTCATCGCCTTCTCATTTCCAGCAGCCTCCTCAATGTCCTTGCAGTCGCCGTCGTGGGCCAGGTTCGCGCACTTCTTACAGATCCCCATATCTCCCATGCACTTCTCCATTGACTCCAGGAATCCTAGTGCCGCTCTCCGCCCGTCGATCACACGCTGCTTCTTGTCTTCCTTCTCAGTATTGGTTTGAGAACTTCGACTCGGGTCTGGTGCTTGACCAAGACCCTCATCTTCGCCCTCCGTGGCCTTTCTCTTGGAACCTTGTGCAGAGGGCTCGGTGATCAGGGATCGTGGATGTCTGGGCTTGACCTTGTTCATGATGTCAAGCACCTCCTTCGTGGGCACGCCGAGCTGTGCGGACGGTTTGTTCCGCTTTCTGTTCTGGCCCGTCGTGTGGGTCACGTTCCCAGCGAGGTGTCGCACTATTGACTGCTCGAACTCCCTCTTGATCTTCCATGCATCCTTCCACAGTGGCAGTTCGTGCTGGAAGTACGACATCACCTCAAAGAATCCCAACACCATCTCGACGACGTCTCCCAAGGATTCCTCGTTCGTGGTTTGTCCCAGGAGTTCATACATCGTTCCTTGGTCGAGCACACTCTTGATCCATGACGAATATGCCACATTGCCGAGATCCTTGCCTATCAAGAAGATGGACATCCTCTCCTCGACTCCCTCGGAATTCTTGCACACGATCACATCCCGGGATGCGCACAATTGCTTCCCGTGACCGTTGTTGTAGAACTGCGCTGCTTGATCCACAGTCATGCTCACGAATCCCACG